TAGGTCTTCTGCGCATTTTTGGATTGGGTTGTTTGTTTTTTTGTTATTGAGCTGCATGAGCTGCTTGTAAATTTTGGAGATTAATCTGTTGTCAGTTGCTTCATTTGCAAATATTTTCTCCCATTCTTAGGGTTGTCTTTTGGTCTTGTTTATGGTTTCCTTTGCTGTGCAAAAGCTTTGAAGTTTCATTAGGTCCCATTTGTTTAGGCCATTTCTTTCTTGATGGGATTGTACCTCAGTGGCTACTACACTACCTTTTCAATAATAAAGTATTAAAATTGAAAGTCCTTGAAAGCATTAGTGAAGATTAGGTGTTTTTTGAGGGGGAGGGGACAGCTGAGAAATTCACTAAAACAATAAAATCTTTTGTAGAAGCTGAACTTAGTGACTGACTGTTGGCTGACTTGCATTATTTGGGTGTATCACATTATTTTTCATCTGTTAAATGTGTATAATGACACATCTCCCCTACCTACCTCACAAAGTTGTAAAAAACCAAACAAAACTAAACCATAGTACATATCTAAGAGGGATGAGAGAAAAATGAGAGTAGCATGTGGAAATGTGAGAGGCAGTACAGTATGATCGAAAGATCTATGATTAAAGTAAAGAGAAGTGGTCAAGGCTGTTCTTCTATTCATGGAGAAAGGAAATGGTTAATTCAGAAAAGTTGCATAAGAAGAAAATCATTTAAAATGCATTAGGGATCTAGATATTTAAATTTTCCTAGGTCTAGTCTTATTATAATACAAATAATAACCCCCTACCTGATCTTGATGATCTTGAGATTCCTACTATAGGCTTGTCTAAAACTAGGGTTATTATATGTATTTATCCTTAAAGTGAAAAATATTAATGAGTTGTTATTTTTTATTTCACAGAAAAAAGGTGATAATATAAAAAAAGTTAACTGAGACTAAGTCTTAGCTCAAGGACATATAAAAAACAGGACCTAGACGGCAAACCCTACTGTAGATTGGGTTTTCTGCTTAAACTTATTTTTGACTTCAAGAAAATTTCAGAAATGGACAGAACCACAAATTCTATACTGTATTAAAAAAAATAGACAACACCAACAGTGAAAAGTCTAATATCAAGAACAAGACAAATATGCCCACTCTCGCCATTTTTATTCAATATAGTACTGGAAGTCCTAGCCAGAGTAATTAGGCAAGAAAAAGAGATAAAAGACATCTAAATTGGAAAGGAAGAAGTAAAATGGTCCCTGTCAATGACATTATATTATATAGAGAAAACCCTGAAGACTCCACAAAAAAATTGTTCGAATAAATGAATTCAGTAAAGGTGCAGGATACAAAATCAATTGACAAAAATCAGTTGCTTTTCTATACCCTAAAAACGAGCTATTGGAAAGAGAAATTAAAACAATTCCATTTACAATAGCATCAAAAAGAATAAAATATTTAGCAATAAATTTAGCCAAGAACATGAAAGATCTGTACACTAAACTCCACAAAACATTGATGAAAGAAATTCAAGAAGACACAAATAAATGGCAAGATACTCCATGCTCATGGATTAGAAGAATATTGTTAAACTGTCCATACTACCCAAAGCAATCTAAAGATTCAGTTCAGTCCCTTTCAAAATTCCAATGGCATTTTTCACAGAAGTAGAAAAACAATCCAAAAATTTCTGTGAACCATAAAGGGCCCCAAGTAGCCAAAGCAATCCTGCAAAGAACAAAACCACCAGAGGCATCACACTTTTTGATTTCAAACTATATTACAAAGCTATAGTAATCAAAAGAGTATGTTACTGACATAAAAAAAAGACACAGACCAATTGAGCAGATTAGAGACCCTGGAAATAAACTCACGCATATATGGTCAATTTTTGACAAAGGAGCCAAGAATATACATGGGGCAAGGTTAGTCTCTTAAATAAGTGGTGTTGGGAAAACTGGACATCCACATGGCAAAGAATAAAATTGGACACCCCTTTGTCTTACACCTTACACAAAAATTAACTAAAAATGGATTAAAGCCTTGAACATAAAGCTTGAAACCATAAAGCTCCTAGAAGAAAACATAGGCAGTATGCTTTTTGCCATTGGTCTTAGCAGTGTCTTTCTACATATGTCTCCTCAGGCAAGGGGAACAAAGCAAAAATAAACAAGTGGGATGACATCAAACTTAAAAGCTTCTGCACAGCGAGGAAACCATCAACAAAATGAAAAGACAACCTACTGAATGGGATAAGATATTTGCAAATTATATATTTGATAAAGGGTTAGTATCCAAAATATATAAAGAAGTCATACTACTCAATTAGTAAAACAAAATAAGACAATTTAAAAATTGAGCAGAGGACCTGAACATTTTTTCAAAGAAGAGATCCAGATGGCTGACAGGTACCTTAAAAGGTGTTCAACATCACTAATTATAAAGGAAATGCAAATCAAAACCATAATGAGATATCAACTCACACCTGTGAACAAGGCTTTTATCAAAAAGACAAAAAATAATAATTGCTGTGAGGTTGTGGAGAAAAGGGAACCCTTGTTTACTGTTGGTGGAAATGTAAACTGGTACAGCTACTATGGAAAACAACATGGAGGTTGCTCAAAAAATTAAAAATAGAACTACCATATGATCCATCAGTCTAACTTCTTGGTATATTTCCACAGGGAACAAAATCATTATCTCAAAGAGATCTGTACTCCCGTGTTCACTGCAGCATTATTCAAATGAGTTAGTGGATTCTGAGTCAAATGGTTAGTGCATGTTTCCTTTACTATATTGTTAGCTTCTTGTCTTTATATTAAATGTAGATCCTGCATTGCCCTTCAAAGTTTGAGTAACGCAGCACTACCTTGAGGCCCATAGCTCAGTGATGACCAAGAGGGCCTTAAAGTTCTCCTCAGCTTGACTAAACTTTAGACAGGTTTCCTCCTGACCGTAAGCTCCTGTCCTCCCTTTTCTTACAGCATTTACTTAAGAAACTTTGAAATTATAAATTCTTTCTCTGCTCCTTTGAGATGTGAATCTTCTCCCAGCCTCTTGCCAGTTTTACAACCCAGGAATGTCTTTGTCAAGGACCTCCAGGACCTGGGAGTCATCCCTTTAAAATGTAATCTTTATTAAAAAGTGTTCTCCTATCTCTACAGTCTTTGAGGTGGGGATAGGAGCCTAAGCACCAATTAGCAAACGTAGATAACCCAGTCATGTTGACCTGTATCCCCTTAGTGTTCTCCAGTACTCTTCACTAGCTCAGCCTCAGCTCTTAAAAACTTTCCCAACTTTTGTTTCAGTGGAGTTGAGATCAGTCACCCTTCCCTATTACAGTAGTCTTGAGTACTTTCTTATCTGTTTAACTTGTCTAGTGCCTTTGAGTTTGGTTGTGATTGAGATGAGGATTCTGGAGTCAGACTCTGGCTCCATTTTACTACACAAGTCACAATGTCACTGACTGAGCTACAGTTTGCTTACAAGTAAAATGGAGATAATGGTACCTTCCTACAGGATATCTGTTCATCGGTCGATGAACATTAAGCTCTTATCATGCTCTCTGGTATCGATACATATGAGGCATAATCCATATTTTAGCCATAAAACATCCATAAATTTTAGGTCTTTCTTTTTTGGTTAATCTACATGAAAAACATCTTGATAGTTTTTTTTAATAGTAAACTGTTGTAGTGTATTTAAAATATGTTTCCGTTTGCTATCAATATGTACATTCTCAGGATATCTACTTTGCAAAGTGAAGTCTATTTAGTTTTCAAAATAAAGATAAAAATGCATCATAAATAGTGAAAGCAAGCAACCAGTTATGCATCTGATCCTGAAGTGTAATTACTTTGGGCAGTTACTCCTGAGGCCATCTTGAGAAATAGCATCTGTGAGTGAGAGACAAAACTGAAATACCATGTTTTCAGACATTCCAGCAAGCTATGTTCTCCAACAAGTGAAGGAAGCTGTGCTGTTTATATTTTGAAATTCAAAATATCTCCTACTTAGGCTATCCTGAAACCAAAAACTTAAACTAAAATTTAATTTTCTTTTAATAGATATCTTTTAAAATACCAGTTGTAATACTCTATTGTCTTAAAGCTGCATCATGAAATGTTGCCTTATTCTCTAAATTTTAAAGAAACACACGTGAAACAACACATTTTGAAAGTTGAAACTGCTTTCTTTTCCAGGGGGTGGGGGGAGGAGCATGGTAACATATAACAGGGAAGTACAATATTCTGACTACATGTCAGAATAAATGTCTATTCGTAACTGTTCCCGATTCGGTGTATGCTCTGTCTGTAAAACTACTTCTCCCCTCCCTTCCCTCTCTCCAAAAGTAATCTGAGAAAAATTCACTTGAATTGCTATCTGACTTTTAACAATCTATATTCTGTTTGGAAACCCAGCTTGCAATTCTGACTGACTTACAGATAACAGTGATGATATGGATTCGTCTGAAAGGCCAAAAGTACTGCATTGATGTTCCATTCTTAAATACGGACAACATGATGGTGTTTTTTTTTTTAAGGGTCATTACCTCTTACAGTCTGTTCATTATTTTTATACTTCTTGTTAATGGACACTCCTGTAACATTAGGTTAAGATTTTTAGATTGTTTGCTCTCATCTCCCCTCCCTGCTGGAAACAGTTTTGTTTACAGGAAGGGGTTACAAAAAAGGCAGAGCCTCATACGCTGTACGAATACAGATAAAAAGACATATTGTGGTTTATGATGTCTACATGCCCACCTGGAGGGAAGGGAATTTAAGAACAAAATAAAAAGACTGAAAATCTAAGTCAACTCAGAAACAAGACTTGCCTATGATGAAGACAGGATTTAAGTGAGAAAGCTCATTGTTATGGCCCCCAGTTGTATATATTTTATCCTAAGGCACCATTTGGTTTAATCAAATGTAGATCTGAGGCTCTCTTAACCTATCAGTTTCTTAAGACTTAATTATAAAGGTTATATTTTCAGAGGATAAAAACATTATTCATTTCTCTGTTGATGTCTTTCAGGTTTATCTTGCAGATTATGGCCTTTCCTACAGATATTGTCCCAATGGGAACCACAAACAGTATCAAGAAAATCCTAGAAAAAGCCATAATGGGACAATAGAGTTTACCAGCTTGGATGCTCACAAGGGAGTAGGTAGGTTTCTTTTTTTCATTTCAGAGGAATAATTAGAACAAAGAGCCTTAAGGCTCCATGAAATGACCTTTGCATAGTCAGCTTGAAGAATGAGAACATTGGTGAGATGTTTATCAAAAGTAGTGAGTTCCTGTATGCCAATGAATATTCTAACAGAGGGAGGAGATACAGACTTCGACAAGTGAAGAAGGAATAAAAGGTGTCAAGTAAGCAAAACTTGATGCTCATTTGGGACAGGAAAGTACTAGTTTGTTTAGGTTAAACTTGGAGGTCAGCAACTGAATTTTTATGCTGTAGTGACAATTACAGATTTGGTACAGGTACACATGTGAAGAATTATTCCTGTTTTTCATTGTGCCCTTATCAGAGCTTTAGAAGATACCATCTCAACAATAAGGAAATCTTTTCTGAATCTATGAAGTGTTAACTTGTGGAAATCTCTCCTAGTCGCCTTTCATATATCTTACTTATTTAAACTCACTTTGATGGTATTGGAAACACATTTGCAGGTAAATTACATACATAGTCCTTTTATTGGACATTGATTATACTGCCTTGCATTCCAAGGGAGACTTAATTCAACAATTCCCTAATTAGTTAAAGTCATAACCTATGTCTTGTATTCATTTACCATTAATTAAACCTTAGCTGTTTATTACACTGCAGTCTAAATCCAATAGCCGACCCAGAAAGCCATGGAGAAGGAAGTAGGAGGTCAATATTGAAAATATATGGTGCGGAGTCCCACTGATGGTTGCTTTGTTCACAATCAATATGGTCAATGCAACTGTACTTTCTTAGTTGCTCTGTCAGCAAGACAAAAAGTCAATCCTAATGTTATGCTAGTAAAAAAAAAAAATGGTGATTATTGAAAAACTTTGTCTTTCAAAATTATATTCTTCATAAACTTTGTTTATAAAAGTATTTTCAAATATGCTAAACCATACAAATAATTTTTAAACTGCTTTGAAAGGATCACATTTTCACTAAAAGGCAGTTAGACATTTGCACTTGTTAATGGCTGTTGAACTGTTACCCTAAACTGATACTTTCTAACGAGTTTTAGTTGGTGCAAACAACTGTATATTATTGCCTTTTCTATTAAAAGGACCATTGACCATGTAATGTAGAGGGTCTTGATCATTTTCCAGAGCAATTAAAACCCACAGTAGTTTAATGTAGGCCAATGAGAAAGTAAAACAAATGTGTCGGTTGTATACCTTTTTCTTTTCAAGAAGAATCATAGGTTAAATTTTCTGGAATAGAAATTACCTTTTATACTCCTTATCAAAATAAGTGAAATCACTACATTTTTTTTTCAAGGATAGTTTGGTTAGAAAAGTAGTGATTTGCCCGATATATTAGTATGAAAGAATATTTAGAAACCTGAGAGTACTTTTTGATAGTGGTGTAACTGGAAATTCATCATACAGATTCTTAAGCTTTGGTCCAATTATGTCAATGATGATATTAACTTATGGTTGGGCCACTTAGTTCAACCCATAGCTCTAATACTGATCCTATTAGATTCTGACTATTAAAAAAACATCTAGGGGCTTCCCTGGTGGCGCAGTGGTTGAGAGTCCGCCTGCCGATGCCGGAGACACGGGTTCGTGCCCCGGTCCGGGAAGATCCCACATGCCGCGGAGCGGCTGGGCCCGTGAGCCATGGCCGCTGAGCCTGCGCGTCCGGAGCCTGTGCTCTGCAACGGGAGAGGCCACAACAGTGAGAGGCCCGCGTACCGCAAAAAGAAAAAAAAACATTTAGGAAGCCACTGTGATTGTGGAATGGGAAAGTCGAGTTGTCGTATGTTGGTCTGGTCAGTGTTTGGACTGTGGTAATTCTGGAAGTCCTCCTTAGTTATTCCATAGTTTAGGGCAGTATTTTCATTATGCCGTCTTCATGAAAGATTTGAACAAAATTTTATTCCATAGTGCATTTAAGTTTTTTGCTCCCTAAATAATAATACATGTTGATGAGTTGGGTAGATTTCACAATGCTAGGTCTTTGGAGAGAAGATTGAACTGAGAATGATGGGGAAAAGATATTATCTCTTTGGGAAAACTACTCAGGGGAGAGCCTACATTACGTATTTTTGGTATTTGAAAGTGATGAGCTGGAGTGAGTATTCATCATGGGTTTCACAAGATTTCTATAAAAATTAGATTCCCTTAATGCATTTAAAATAGAATGTACACTAAACTTTTCACCATATCTGTATTTACAGGTATATATACATATATATGCGTATATATACACATATATGCATGTATATACACATACATGTATATATACATAGATGTAGACATACACACATATATATATATATTTGCTGAAATTTTAACATGCAGTTTTAGTCTAGCATAAAAAAAGAAAGGTTTGGTATCCTCAAATATTTGAATACTATTCATTCTTCATGTTTTACATTTAATTTTCCAAAATAAAACATTTCACTTTAGGATTTTATTAGAAATGAAGTAATCATTTAGTCATATCTAGAAACTAGAATTAAACAAGGCCATAAATCCTTACAGGTAAATGCAGAATGTCAGATTCATAAATATTCATGTGTTTACTTTCAGTACACACTATGTAGTTTAATCTCAGAAGAATCTTTTCTGTACCAGTCCAGCTATGAGCTCAAATAAATACTGAGGAAGATAATGCAAAGGAAAACCTAAAGAGTAAAACAAGTTATCACTAGGAAATATAACCTCTCGTTATCAAAGCATTTGTTATGTTTTAGGTTTATCTGTGCTCGATCAGGCCCTGGGAAATATTCAGCCTTCAATGTAAAAGTGACTTACGGATTAGCAACTTAACAGATATATTGTTAACCTGATCAAACTATCTGGTCTCCGCTACCTTTGAGGTGGTTATTCAGAAACAGAAGCTAACTCTCATGTTTCTGTGGATTAGTTGGGTTTTTATAATGAAGGAGCTTGTATAAGGTGCCAGTCAGCAGTTTCACCTAAGCATTTTCTAGTTCAGCTGTGTAAGAGGGTAGCTTGTACTGTTATAAGCCAAAAAATATCAATAGAGATATATAGAGGTGAATGGACAGATGGATGAATGGATAGATAACTATTCTTGAACTGTTGTGCGTCTATGTATCTGTATTTTTTAAATTGCAGTTATTCTTCCAAACTCAGTTCTCATATATGACCTAAAAGTGTTTTCTGAGAGGCTGAAGTGCTTCATTTAGTGTAAAATTAGAGTAATATATTTTGGGCTTATCTCATCTGTTATTAATTTTTTATTCTTCATAAAAACCAACATGTATAAACATTGACATATTTTGGGCTTGTTGCCTGATAATTACAGAGAATTATATCTGTGTCAAATATACTGTTTTAAAATTTGTTACATTCTTAGTAATGTTAAAAAGCAATATTTGGATCAATGTGTGGTATAGATTTTTGTAGATTTTTCCGCTCACTGAGGCATGCAGTCAATACCTAATTTCTCTAGAGATATACTGCATTTAACATACTGAGCTTTTTTAAATACTTCAGACTTGTGCACTGAGTGTATAATACCTGTTTTAATTTGACATCATTGATGACCATAAAATATGATATCTAAATTGCATTTTAAATGTCCATTTGTTTATATAATATGTTCAGTATCAAGGAAGGAAATATATTACATACTTTTTAAAATTTTTGCCAATTGCTACAGCATATAAAATCCAAGTCTTGTGTTATTTCTTGCACAGCTTCATTTCACTCTAATCTAGCACTCCAGCTTACAAAATATATGTGAAATAAACTGAGAATGTGTTTTCATGCTACCAAACTTGGGGAAATGACATGGTTTATACAATATTTATCTTCTTAAACAATAATTCAGAAAAGGGAACCCATTTTTCAATTATAAGATATTAAGGTAAACCAAGTTATTGATATGCTCTATTGAATCTATTAGTAGTCAGAAAAACACAATGTTGATTTTTATTTTTAAGTAAATTTCACTGCTATAAATAGTCTTTGGTTGATGTATAAATAAATTTTAATGAAGACACTATTCTTTCTGTATGACATAACCCAATTTTGACATTTAGACATGACTTTCAAAGTCTTGGCATAGGTCTTAAACTATTTGGTTGAGTTAAGAATACACATTGGTCAAATGTAAGATACCTTTGCTCTGTTGAATAACTTTTCCTAAGCCTCACACGTGTTTCATAAAAAACTAAGGCTTAGAATTTAAAAGGTACTGAAGAAATAAAAGCGACCTGGTTTATTATTTTATTTGAAATGTGACACATTGTATTCTGCTTTCCTAATATCCTTTTTGAAATTGCAGTAAATTGTGGCCACCATAAAATTTCCTAGCTCTTTATACATCTGAATTGACAAACTACTGAATAACATAGGTTACTAGTTAGAAAAATAAGAATAAACTTTAAATTTATTCTGCAGATAGTCACCATTCACTTCTCAGGTGAATGTCTTACTCAGATGTTTTCTGCTTTCTTATTGTCATTTCTGAGTATATAAGCCAGTATTTTGAGCATTTAGACCCTGTCTGCTTAAGGCAAAAGTTTTCTAGTTCACTTTATTATTTCCTAGCAAATCTTGTTTTTCTTCCTACTTGATAATGTTACTCTATGTAAGAAAAAAACTCAACAGGAAACACTTTAGGCAAATAATCAGAGCCATTTTGGGATTAACACTGATACTTTTCTTTTTCTCCCAGTTCTTTCATTCCATTTGGTGAATTGCACCCAGATAATTTTACTCCAGTTTGTCATTAGAATAAGGACCAGTCCTCCAATGTGATTTCTTTGTTGTTCTCATTTCAGCTTGGAAGGACCGTTTAACACTTTATAAATTAATGTTTTAATTAAACATTCTTCTTCATCAGAATGAAGTAGTTTTACAGAAATAGTGTCATGTAAGGATAGTTGCATGAAAAATTTTGTTAGTGTTACAGCTTAGACCTCAGGATCTGCTGCTTATTTCTTCCTTGCCAATACAACTGTCTTTGGTCAGTATGTCTTTTGGTGTTTTAAGTTAAAATGCCTGCTTCAAATACTTCCCTGACTGTAGAAGGGTATATGTTATGTTGTCTAAATGGTGCAAAACTAACAATGGAGGCAAAGTAATTGGTAGATTGAGTGGAATGTTGGCTCTGGATTCTGAAAGATTTGGATTTCAATACAGAGCTCTGTGACTTTTTGCTGTGTGATACTGAGCAAGTTATTTAACCTCTCTGAGCCTCTATTTTCTTATTTGTCAACAGGGTTAATGATACCTCATATTGTTAGGATGATTAAATAAGATGATATAAAAGCAGTAGAGTGTCTGGCACGGTAGCAGCTTCATAAATCACATTGATCGTTTTTATTTTAATTATGTATTCTAGTGTCAGCTGTTTCTGGAATCTGCTTTCTAGTGAAATCGAATTCAAGTCCCACCCCACCTGTGCCTTTTTTTTTTTTGGTTAGTCTTGGCAATACTTTATCATTTAGAAATGTTGAGCAACTGAGAACACCACAGGCTTTCAGTGAAAAGATTCATTTACATTGTTCCATATTAATATGCGAAATAAAAATTAGATGCTAAATTATATTTAGAAAGTGACAAGAGAATATTGATAACTAAATCTTCCTGTATTTCTAAGCAGAAGTACCATAAGTAAAAGTGTGACTTTAGGAAATCTATATGAAAATATGCTGCTAATGATTATGTTAACTATCAAATGCAACTGAAAAACCTTATGTATTACAATAAATTATACAGAAATACAAATTATACAAAACCAAAATAATCCATAATATGTTTCAACTTTCAAATTAAAAAATATTTTCATTGTTAGATGTTAATTAGTAGTCTTCCTCAACTATGATGAATTCTTTTTTTAAATTTTCAGCATTTTATTTAATTGTTTTCAAATATACAGGAAATAGTAGAATAATATAGTAAATATCCAAATATTCAATTCCTAGATTCAACAGTTATCATATCATTTATATTTTGATGATGTACTTCATTTAAACTTAAAGATATATGATAAGTTCATTGTGTTAATTACATACCCACTCATAGATGCTAATATTGTCATCTAAAATATTTTAATTAATTTAACCAGTGTTAAAATTACTCTTCTGTATGTAGTAGATGGAGAAAAGACATAATCGCTTGTACAGTGTTAGAGTTTAACTTCTCAAAAACACATCACACTTTGCAGTTTGTTTCCCTGAGAGGGAATTTCAGGGAAAGGTGTGTACTTGGAAACATTTTTAATCCTTTCGTCTCTCTGTTTAATGGTGGGAAAGAGTGACTATATAATTTTTTTTTTTTAACATTACATGTATGTCTGCAGAACTTACTGGAAACAGTGAGTGGTAAAACATTTACCTAACAATAATTATTAATGTATATATGCAGTAAAAAAAAATAAAAGTTTGAAAAATGTGGTGCTGTATTTTAATTAGGTAAAACTGAACTATGATAGTGAAGTAAGTTAACTCTCGAAGGGCTATTTCAAATGAAGACCAGTTTATGAAAGATTGGCTTCAGAAATCTAAATGACTTGTCATTACTTACAGCTTCATATCAATTAATCCCTCAGTTGGGGGGTTGGGGGAAGTAGCTGGGAAGGTTCATTCCATTTTAATTCTGATTGTTTTTCCTCAGAGGGCCTCTTGTGTGTAGCCTATGTCGTCCAAACAGGTGCCAGAATATAATTTTTTGAAAATTAGAGGATGTGAATTTTTTTAAGTGGTGGTAATCAGGAATTGCCATAATGGAAAAGGGATTTGTGAACACATCTGTACAAATGGAACCATTCCATTATTAATGGGAGATTTATTACTGAAGAAATCACTACAAAGCAGTGTGGTAGAGATTGTGTTTTTATTTTAATAGGGGAGCCAAGTCTTGCATTAGGACATTGTTGAAGCTTGTGCAGAAAGTAAACAGTACCCATGGGACTGTTGCATTCTGCTTGATTGAAGGGCCTTTAATAAATCCGGTACTCTAATAGCAGTTAAGATAGGGTATGTGTAAGAGCTAATCTTGTCTTCTGCTTTTATAGTAACTTATGTATGGTGACCAAAAGTAGTTATGATGTGCTAGCAGCATTGTTCTTTGTAGATGACTTTTTAAAGTAAACTAAGTTTACTGAGTGACTTTTCAGAATGTATGTAATGAAAGGTAATAAAACCAGGATACCTGTTTACGGCGGGTTTAACAGCCGTGTATTGCACTTAGGAGATTTTACGTCCCTACACAGATGAACATTCAAGTAATGGTAGAAGTGTGAGCCAGGCTATTGTTTTATAACAGTTTGGAATGGTTATAAAAATGAGTTTATTTTGTGGGATTTTATTAATGTTTTAATCATTATTTCAGTAATATTTGTTATATTTGACATGTTTCTTAGATATTTTTGTCTTTCTTTTGAAATCAGTTACTTTAAAAAAAAATACAGAAAATTATCATGAAATTAGTCTATGGCACTAGTCTGTAGTTTTATATAAATGATATTTACAGTGGCCTCAAAATGTTCTTTTACTGTATTTTTTTATGAAAAGCCATTTTATATTAGATTATGGAAACCTCTCTTTGACTTTAAAATTTACTTCCCACCACCTGCACCCCACCCCTCATGCACATTATTTCTTTACCTTTATATTTTTTATTCAGGAGATTTGATCAGAAGTTCGCTTTAGCACTGCTTATATCTAAAATAATACTTGTAAAATTTTAGATCCGTGTACCCAAAACAGCAGGCGTATGTATCCTGTGCTTTTTCATTTAATTGAAAAATCTTAAGAAAGACCCGTTTTTTAATAGTGTACACTAGATGGCAGTTTCGTCATATTTTCCGATTTCCAGTGCTGCTAGTCTGAGTGGAACAGGAAAGGCCATCAGTGTTTAGTCTGCACTTGAAGGGTCTCTGCATGACCAGTGCAGACCCCATGGACTTCCTGGAACATGTGTTAGCAATTGAGCCGCAGACATTTCTTTCTTTGTTTTACTGCTTGGCTCTTTGAGAAAGTGTCGGTGCCAGGTTATGGGTTGTCTGGATCATGTCAGAGGCCATGGAGATCAAGTTCATGTGACAGGCCAGACTCAGGAAGGATGAAGTTGGAGGAGGTGAGGAAACTGACCCTTACTTTCAACAGCAAGAAGTCACTGCCTTTCTGTGGACCGGGGCCAAACGCCTGGGCGTTTAAGCTTTACTCCAGCTGAACAAACAAAACACATCGCCCATTTGGCTTTTTCGTATTTCATCAGTGGTAGTTCATTCAGTGATTTCTCTATTTCTCAAAAATGACTTATCCCTCATCTTGCTCTCTTAATGCTTATTCCTATAGCCCTGTCCAGACGAAGTGACCTTGAAATCCTCGGCTACTGCCTGCTGCGGTGGTTATGTGGGAGACTGCCCTGGGAGCAGAACCTGGAGGACCCTGTGGCTGTCCAGACAGCTAAAACAAAGTACGGATTTTCAAGTATTCCGTTATGTACAGCACCAGGTCTGAAGGGACACATTAAAGCGAGTTAATATCTCAGAGAAGACTGCCGTTTAACCTATTCATTCATTCAACTATTCATTCAATAGGATAGCCAAAGCAAATTTCTTAAATTTGAAAAATATTTTAAAAAACCCGAACAGCTTACAGACATAAAATCCATTAAGCTAACACCTATGAGATCATATGTATGAGAGTTGTAATACAAAATAAAAAGTGAAATATTTGTTCCTTCACACGGTGTTTTCCAAAACTTAGATTCTAGGTGGTGGTATTTTCAAGGAAGAGTATTTTCAGATTAGCATTATATAAGTATATGGAGTTAGTGTGAGCTTGGTGTGATTGATATTAATTGTGCAAAGCAACAAAGTGAAATGGGACAAACAGGGCTTATATTTTTCAAGTGAGAGCAACATGCATTGTTTTTAATCCTGTTATTGGGGGGAGTGTATGTTTTGTTTCTTAAGGAAGAAACAAACAGAATTTGCATATGAGGTGTTTATGTAAGAGATCATTTTGCAGCCACATAAACATTTTAATATTCCACATTCAATTTTTATCACCTAAACTCTATTAGGGTGAGAATTAGGTTAGACTGAGAATAGAGTGGGTTACTATTTTACTGTTTTTCCCACTGATCAGGCCTAACAAAAAGTCAATTGCATGTAGCACAGCATAGCCAGGTTTTCATTATGCACCAAGATATTCTCAACAGTAGTTATCCACAGATACAATATCGCAATTGGAAAAAGCAGCTGTATTTTAATAGGGCAAGTCACAACAGAAGTTTAAAAAGGCGTAGCTAGCTGATCCATAGAAATCAGTCTTTCTAATTCAGTGTGGCATCAGTTCTTAAGAGAGAGGAAAGCTAGCCTGCAGATACAAAATAATGCAGATTACATTGGTAAATACTGACATATATTGTATGAAATATTTCTCCACTTGGAATCTTGAGCGTCCTAGTCCCTTTCCCAAAACTAACACATTTATATGTCAGTATTAGAACTGTCTAATCAGTTACTTATTGCGGTGACTGATGTGTCCATATAACCCTCAGGTGACTAACATTTTTCAATATATGGGTCAAGTCAAAGGACAGCAACGGGCATATATAAAGGCTTGGTTTCCAATTTTCTACCTCAGTTTACCTAATTTGAATAAAATAGTTTATTTAAAAGACTAACATTTTAATTCCAATGATCCTATATGTGTTTTTCTTTTAATAAGACCTACTAATATTATTTTAGTCTTTTATCAATATGCATATATAGATGCCGTCATTGTATATGTCTCTAATGAATATACCTACATGTATATATTTGAATATAATAGGGTATTACATAAATAATAAAATATAATGCTAATAAACATAATCTCCATTTGTATTTTGGGGCCCCTTGCATATGTTAATATATTCATTTTGGCCTGATTACTAATATAAACCTATTGACCAATAAAGCTAATATTGTATTATGAAGTTTATAATTAAGACATATGTATAATTAAGATACGTACAGATCTATATCTTATATATATAAGCCATGTTCAGAGTTTCTATATAATGCAGAACCGTAATTTACTTAACTTGCTGAGAAGGCATAATGCTGAACTTCCCCGTAAGGGCAGGCTTGCATATTTAACCATAATACTGTATCTCACATGCCCTTTATTTTCCTGACTTAGGGTAATATTAGATCAGTGCATTTATTGTTGCAATTCTGCCTATGCCTGAGTTTGTGACTCAAACATTCATATCAGTAATTTTAGTTGAATGTTTATATATTTGTGGCTGAAGCAACTTAAGAGATTTGTACTTGTTCAGTCTAAAACACTGGAAAGTGTTAGAATAATGGGTTTTTTGTTTTGTTTTTTGGATATTTCTTGTTAACCTGTTTAATCGTGGCATAGCATAAAGCAACTGCCCAATTGAGAACAATATACATAAAATATTAAATAATTTGCCCCTCCCCAGTGCTGAGTACCTGAGGAGAAATATCCTGAAAATCCAGATAACATTTTTCTATGTATTTTTTTCTTAAGGTTTTTTTTTTTTAAAAATCATGTATCCCTACTTCTACATTTCTACACGTACAGACCTTGTATTAAAGCATTTATACTGTAGTTCTACATTTAGTTTCTAGGTGATTGATATAAAATCGATCAGTGAGATTGGAGGGATCTCCCCCATCCACTTACCCTCTTACCCATTACAGGTGGGTGAAAAAAAAAAAGTATGGAAAGTCACATTACTGGTGACCCACAGAGTTTTGTTTTCTAATCAAAACAGTAAATCACAGGATTGCAAACAAATTCACTGTGTGTTACTCTGTTTTGTTTTAGTCTGTTGGATGAGCTGCCTGAGTCGGTGCTTAAATGGGCTCCTTCCGGAAGCAGTTGCTGTAAGTCAGGTGATAACTTCTGCCTTCTCCTATACGATTTACAGCTCACCACATTTGTCACTCTTGTTTTGTAGCTTTTGCTGCACCCAGTCCCATTCCCATAGTGATGGGAAGAAACTCTCCAGGGTTACAGATACGTTGCTAGAGAAGAGAGTGTTGAGATCCTCTTTTCATCAGGACACAAGAATGCTGCAAGAATATATGCAGGCAGCGTTCTGGGCTCTGCTGCTGGCATTGCTGTCTTTTAGATGTATATTTTGGGAATCATGCACAGGTTTAATGGTCAACTGTATCTGGTATCTCCAGAGTGGACTTTCCGTTTTTGTTCCTATGTGTGTTGCTGAAAGAAGAGAAAGTTGATCGAAGGAAAGACTACTTTCAATTAATAATTTAAAAAAACAAACCATTAAACCCTTGAATGCTGTTTAGACTTGGGTTATAGTCTGACTCAACAGCCAGAAAAAAATTTTTGGATTGGCAAGGCATATGACCTTGGGATTCGGAGTATATTTCAGTGAACAGGTTTCCCTTTCATGTTAGTATAGACCATTTCGGAATTCTTTAATTGGTAGTACTATCAGTAAAAATAGTAAGGCAATTCAGAATTACCCAAGTGCTGCATGGCACATTGTTCAGCACCGAGTTAACCACCGAGTTAGACTGCCTCACAGAGCAGAGCCTGCTTCTGCTGTCCGGCTTGCTTTCTGTCCAAGACGATAGGCAGAGTGAATCTTGATCTCTGTTTCTACCGGGCAACTTCGAAGTTAGCTTTTAGCTGACTTATGAAAGTAAATATGTACGCTGAGTGTCTAGATAAGGTCAAATAGTATCAGTTTCCACATGAGAGTTTAAAAGTAGAGTTAAATCATCTTAAACTTATACTTACAGCCCTTCTTTGACCAGAAACCAAAATTTTCATTTCCTTAGGAAATGAACAGACCAGTTCTGTTTTCCCACCTCCATTTCCCAAATCCCACAAGTCTACCCAGTATGAGTCTTCTGCTTCCCACCCTCTGTTGTCTCTTTCCTTCTGATGGAGGGAGGCAAACGGGAGAGTAGTATTCTCATTTTGGGGGATGGGTTGAAAGATGAAAACTTTTCATTTATGTAACTGCACTGAGTAACTCAGTCAATATGCCAGTATTCCTTTCTGGCTAATATTCTTATTGGCATTTTTACCAAGTCACACAGCTTTCATTTTACTCAACAGGACAGCAAAAAGAGAGATGAGGAGATGTTAAAAATTTTTTTAAATTGTGTATCTCTTTTCTTGTCTCTCATGCACAAAAGGTAACTGTTCAGTTTAGGATTAGGAAAGAAAGCCCATGTGCCCTGGATTGTACACAATAAATGCTTATGGACCAGTGTATATTTCTGGGACACTGCTGTTGCTAAATATAATATTTGAGTGGTACGAGAAATGGTGGGAGGAGTGCCAGGCTCCTCTTTTTCGGTACAAACCATTTGTTTGGGTCTATACTATTCTTTTATAAAATGCAGATTTCTATTTCTAAAGCACAAAATGTTGAAACTTTATTATTAACTATAATATATATTAACTATAATATATAACTATAATAAATATTATTATTTATTATTAAGGTCTCTCAAGTTAGTTGGTTATGCTTAGGAGAGTGGGTATTGCTAGCATGAGAATCCGATTTACAAAAGGTTTATTACTAAGACATTTTATGAAAACAGCTGAGAAGTTTGCAACATGCATGTCCAATTCAGTGTAATAATATCAATAATAGTTTTAAAAGTTTCTACCTCTTGAAACGATAGTAATGATACTTTATATTTCACTAGCTTAAAAAGCAGATGATTCAAGAATATCATAATTTCATACTGCTCAAAGCATTTGTTTTATAACTCTGGAAATATGCTAGTAAATTAAAAGGTGTACTTAATATAATAAATCCAGATCTTGAAAGGCTAACATTTAAACCAGTACTATATCACAATCATCTAAGCATCAGGTTTATCATAATATATTCATAACAGAGGTGGCCCTTTTCTTTTTCTCCCTCTCCTACCTCACTGGGACCTCATTTTTTCAAACCCCAGACCCATGAAGGCTTTGCAGCACAGCTACTATCAGCTGGTGGAGTGCCAGGAGTCTTCCATTGTCTTCTAACAGTGATTTGTGAAAAGTGTCCCCAACATATTCAGCTCTCTTATTCATTTGGGATATTCTGGTTAATAGAATTGTAATAAATACCAAACTGGGCTTACCAATCTTGAACAAAGAACAACAGAATATTCATATTAAAATGGTAGTGGATGTAAGTTAATCTTTTTTCTTTTGGATCATCTCTTCAAGAATTGGATGCCCCCACAAAGGGCTTCTGGAAACATGAGTTATAAATGTGATGAAGCTGCAGCACTTCCTAGTTACAGAGATCTGGTCGAGCGAGTGCTAGATAACAGAATTTGACATCTTATACATTAGAGAGGAAAAAAGGTTGCAGAATTGCCACAGTATCCAAAAAACCAAAAAAACTCTGGAGCCAAGAGTTTTCATTTTAGCTGCAGTAGCCTTATGTTCCTGGAAAATAGTTGTGGACAATACAGTGTAAAATGGTCACTCTCTGACTTTCCTTGGTGCTGGGGGTGCAGGGGGGAGAATGACTATTCCTTTTGGAATTTTTCCCTGTAGGGAGTGAAACCCAGTGTCTCTGTAGTTCCCCACTTGAAAGGAGGTAGGCCTGGAAGGGAGCAAAGATTTAGGAAGTCAGTTCTGCCAAGCCACGAAGCTTCCCCAATTTCCCCACCATAGGATATAAACAACTTAGTGAGAAAGTAAGAGGTACTTGTGTCTGGGTCAGTAATAAGTTTTTGAAGAGGAAAGACTTGAAAAACTAGTTTATGGAGTATAAACATCTCTGTTAACAAATGAAAATATGCCAGTTTTTAAACAGTGTATGGTATTATCACTTATATCTCAGATTGAACCTCCACCTGAAACAAAAATGCAAACTACATTTGTTGTAAAGTGGCTATATTTCTAATTTTTGGTTACTGACTCTACTTGTACTGTATTTCAGAGTTTGTAGTTCATAACTTTTTTTGTGGGGAGGTTACTATATACCATTCTAGGGAAGAGAAAAATTGAAAGGTGGCAACTTCTCATCCTTGTGCTCTCAATCAGAAAGGCTATGCCATGATTGCACTGGGCTAGCTAGGTATGCAGGACTTGAGCGAGGTTCGGCAAATTCTAAAGTCAGTCACGGCTAAAACTGTAGAATTCAAGGTCATTTCTAAATGAACTGTTGTAATCTCAAAATCAAAGCCTTAATTACAATTTGCAATGATTTCTTCCTTTAAGGACGTTTATAGTATTTTTTGTTTGGTTTTGTTTGGTATTTTTGTTTGTTTACATTTTTAACTGAATTTTTAAAACTTCAAAAAATGTATCTTTAACTGAATTTTTAAAATTTCAGAAAAAAAGTGTGAAGCATGGCTGGTTCTGTTATATTATTCATGTAGTTCTTAGTAGTTGCATCCTATACATCAAAATCACTAACTGTAATTTTAAAAATTTGCTTCTTTTGATGAGTGAATTGTAAACATATCAACAAAGATATGTTAAAAAAAAAAAAAAAAACCCACTAGTTTCTCCCATCTTGTCCAATCTGTAGGTCACTAGATTTCAGTCATTTTTGGATATCGTTTAAAGAGTACTTTCCTGTTGAACTGTTCATTCTTAGTTTCTTTGAAGGGGGTGTATGTGTGTGCGTGCACTTGCTTGTGTAAGAGAAAAACAACAGAGATTTTGAGAATATTGGAGTTTTGAAATTTTTTCCCATTATGAATGACATTAAAAAAATTTAATACTTCACAGGTGAAATAGCCCAGTATTTGGTATGTGCTCATAATTTAGCATATGATGAAAAGCCAAACTATCAAATGCTCAAGAGAATTCTGAACCCAAGTGGAATACCTTTAGGACCACTGGAATTTTCCCCTAAAGGAGAGAGCTTAAATGTGCGTACTCCAAATAATGAAAAGGTAAGTAACAGTCCCTGGAATCCAGTGATGACCTCTGTGAAGCTTATGTACCAAATGAAGTTGTTCTAGGTGTCAAAATGAGTCTGACAGTCCTGTTTCTTACTTATATCTAATTCTTATATCCCCTGAGCTCCGAGAAATTTTACTGAAGGTTCCTTTGACTTCTTGTCTTCAAGAGAAAAATAGTAGGATCTGTGGCCTGTTGTGTATTATTAAAGAAATAAAGCAGTCACTGATGTCACAGAGATAGGACTAGGATAAGATATTAAAGGCGAATCCAGCTTTATTCATGGAAACCTTTTTTGCTGCTTTTCTTCAGATTTTCTTTAGTCATCCCTCTGTTTTTGCTTACTCTTGGCCATAGTTTGGTGGTGGTAATAATATTCTTAAATTTTACCAGAATATTTGTATGTGCTGATTCTTCAATCTATAGAAACAATTCTTTTTTGCAAAAAGTTATTTTTTAAAGTTACACCTTCCACTTTATCTTCCAACTGACTCCCTCACAGCAACATTTTTTAAAAAAATTAGAACTGGAAACAACACAAAAGAATTAGAACTTGAAACATTTTTTAAGAAGGTGGGAGAAGCCTTGAGACTGCTATCAGCAACATTACTGGACAGGCAACTAAATGTCTAATCCTGACTTGACACTGCCCATGTGCAAAAAAAAAAAAAAAAAAAAAAAAAATGGAGGGCTTTGTTTCCTGATGCATGTACATTAAGGTAGGGTCAGGATGTCGTTCATTTTCAATATTTCTTGTGAACTTTGGATCATCACAAGTATTCATGAGCCAAGAATGCAGGATGCAAACTAATGTGACTGATAGGCTGCTAGATGAATGGTGAGTCAAGTATCAGTGCACAGATGGTTCTGATTTGCTGAATTTTGTAGCTGCTGCAACTGAAGACATAAAATATCCTTCTAGTCATAAATTAGCTCTTTGGAAGCAAAACCTTGGCACCAGAGCTTTACAACCTTCAATTAGTAGGGAAAGAAGTATTTGAATGACTGTGGTATTGACATCTGTAGGCCTGCATAGTAATCATTCCTAATAGAAGAGAATATCTGTTTGAGGAGGTTTTGCATGGCTAATTAACTACCAGTGAGAATATGTAATTTTTTCATGATCTCCTGATTGTCACCTTTCTCTCATGATACAATTACATTTTATTGTAGCAAGTGCCTCACAAACCAATTGTCAGCACTATTTACGTATTGCAGAAGGCAGAACAAAAGTTCATGTTTAATAAAAAGCCACTGCATTTTGATCTTGGTAATTACTGAGACTTATTTTAACAGTTTTATTGACTTTTGTGTTTTTACCACTTTTGCAACAAAACAAAGAGCCATTTTCCTTGACATAGTGTTTCCCTTGCAGTAACAGCCAGCACTTAATCTACACTAATTTAAGTAGATTTTTTCCTTTTTTGTAGTTTTTCAGTTTCATAAACTTAATTGAAATATAAAAGAAGCCATTTAAAAAACTGATAGCTATATCCTCTGATATAAAATTCTAATTATTACCCACCAGAATTTTCAGTTTCATCAAATTCAAAGGATGTTTGTGGTGAAACCATTTTTATATGCAGAGATAGAACATAAAACATTTTTTTCCAGTGAGCCTCAATCAAAAATATTCTGTTCTTCCCTTTTGATTAGAGCACTTTGATTATGAGTAAAAAGAAAACACTAAGAATAATATGCATTCTTAAGACTTTAGCTAATTTCTGTTAACAATATGATCAGCCTCAGTATACAGACATTAAGATGAATCGGGGATATATTTCATAGCAGATCAATATTTACTGAATAAGGACTATTTCTGTAGTATTTTGAGTACACTAATATATTTGATAATTATATAGGTTCACCATATGTGACCACACCTTAAATTTTTTATTTTTAAATTAAGTTGACAGATTTTGAAATACTGCAAAAAACAAACTTGAAAATGATCAAAAGCACAGTATGATAATGTAAACTGTCCTGAACTCAGTTTTCCTAAATGATCAAGGATCGTTTCCACAGTTGATTGCTTCCATAACAAAAATCATTAAGTCCAGAATGAATATCAATCACATGGCCCCAAATTTCTCTCTTTTTAGACAGAATCCCCTCATTAGTAGCTAAAGATATTTCTTGTTACTCTATACATGGATCTAATTATTTAACAAAATAAATAATGAACTCTGGACTTGTAATTTTTGGATAAAGATACTTAAAAAGAAGTCAGTGGACCAGGAAACATATATAGTTAGATAAATAAAACGTTTCTATGATTCAGTATTCAAAGGAAAGTTATGAATGTTTAATTTTTTAAGTGTTATTTCCCTCAGTATAAGTGGTTTGTGCCTTTTAAATTTAGTAACGATAACAAAAATATGTTTTGGTTAGGTATTATAAAATAGCACATCACCATAAGAATCTCAGCAAACTTATAGCATCTTTTTGCAAAAAAACCCAGAGGGATTTATCCAATACTGGGTTTTACTAGGCATCATAAACTGTTCCCTATAAGCTGAACCTTCTTCTTGAAGTCCTCAAATACTGTTACTGGAGTTAAATTGGAAATGAACTTTTTGTCAAGGTAGTAGAGATGTTGATATTTTTTCCTGAAAAGCAAATCTTTTGGGACATTTGCCTTGATCAAAATGATACTATGTATAGCTGATATTACTCTCTAGTAGTTCTGAAGGCTCTAGCATTGTCATATTAGAAGAATCTTACCATCAGGGCTACCTCAGTCTATCTATGCCATCCATTGGGATGTAATGTCCAAAATTCACTGAAGGAAGCCATATTCAGTAAGAATGCTTATTGAGGTGAGCTAAAGCTCCAGAATTCCTGGATGACAATGCTAAAGCCAAGCTAGAAACCAGCATTACAGGAGGCCTCAATTCAACCCTTGAATAAGCCATTTCCTCAAGAGCCAGTAGTGGATCCTTTTATCAGTTTACCAATATCTCCCTCCTTATTCTGATGCGTGAATCCATTTTGTAATTTTATAGACACCTGAGCACAGTGAGCCACTCATCCTTCCTGAACACTTTACTAAGGCAGAGGAGTAGCTGTAGGTCATAGTTAAAATGTTCAAGCTATCCTAATTTCAGACAAGAAAAAGTTTGTTTCTTCATTCACCCGGAATCTGAGGTTCGTATAGCAAATCCAGGGGTGAATAGATTATTACTGGTAGTAGTAATCTTTGTATTGAACTTAAAAGCTTACAGAATTCTTACTTGAGCTTTAATTCTCAAAATAATTCTATTAAAGTTGTCTTCATATTTCTTTTCTGTATGAGAAAAAGAATATAAATTCTTAATTATAAGCACATTGTTGCTTACTGAATTTTAGGAGTCCAAAAGTATTCCTTATTTTGTAGAACAGTATGACGTGCCAATGAAGAGTTAAACAAAAATTACCTTATTTGAATAGCCACTTTCTGGAAAGTGACACACATTTGGATAGTATCCTCTGTTTGATTATGTGGGATACCCAGAGTGTCTTCTATATTTACTTTTTTATCTTTGAGAAAAAGTTTTACTCTGTTCACAATTAAGGGTTAGACTTCATGATCCCACTTCACTCTTACCATTTTAAAAGTTTCCCTAGAAATAGAAATTTTCCATAAATTGGATATCATTTTGTTTATTAGATGGAAGTGTTCATGGCAGCACAACTTAACCATCCAGCCAACTGACAGCAAATCCAGGAGGCATTGTCTCTTCCAGGAGGCCTCAGAGAGGACTGAATATATTAGACCGAATTTTGTTTGTACATCAGAGGCTCCCAGACCAAAAACTGGTATACCTGAAGTGCCTAGCATATAGGAGGCACTAAAATTCTCAGTATCTCAACTAATCCTTTCTGTCACAGAACACATCTCATAATGATTGCCAAGCCAGTGTTTTATTAAGATAGAACTATGTACAGCAGCCTTGGGAAACACTTTGTTTCACACAAGTGGTATGATGGGCATTTATTACCAAGATAACTTCAGTGGAAAACTGGCTCAGAAGGTGGTTACACATGAATTTTTCTAGGAGTTGGGGAGAGTTGAGTGGTAGAAATAAAGAACCCCTGAGTGACCAGAAAGCAATTCCAATTTTCAGGTTACTGAGAAGCAATGGCTTTGCTATCCTTTGAGAAGCTGGAATCCAGGAGGAGGGATGAATAAAGAATGGTGTTGTGACAGCTTAAACCTAGCCACAAAACACCAGCGTATTTTAAAGGGAAGGAGTGAACACACTTGGCAATAGAAGCTAAAAGTTGAGAGACTACAAATTAAGGCTCTGCTTGCTCAGCCAATGTAATTCATTCTCTAGTTTGGCACTGGCTACTCCATTATTTCCCCTTGTACTGTTCCTATCTTCTGCCCCCTATTTAACCCATGAAAACAGGTGATGGCACTTTCAGCTGCTGTAAACATGAAGCTGCTGAACAAATACTTCACATAAGGATCTTCACTGTGGCTTTCAATCTTCCAACTGTATTGTGGGATCTGCCCTGTGTCTACTTCAAGGTTATTGAGAGTCAGTCATCCCCCAGATAACAGCATGGTGTGAAAAAGAAACCTCAAGAGGCAGCAAGCTTGTTGTAGAATTTAACCTCTGATACTGGTACACAGTATTAGATGACATGGACTGTTATTCATCTGCTCAAAGGTTAACTTACCTGTATAAAAAAGTAAGCAACACCATAAGCTCCTAATTATGTTCACATTAATTAGGCTCACTTCAATGATAGAAAACTAAGATTCTAATTAATAAGAATTTAAACTAAAAAGATGTCCTGGATCCACTCCCAGCAAAGGTTAATAATGAATTCATGTGCAGTTTTCATATGTGACAGTTTTCTGTAAAAATGCTGTTTTCAGTAAGCAAATTATCTATAGAGATAATTTCTAAAGAGTGCATGACAGTGACACTAATTTTTATTGGTCTTGTCCTATTGAGGAGAAGAGGCCTGAATCTTGCCAACTACTGTACTTTTCTGTAATTTCCATTTGTTGGTTTCCTCCTTATTTCTTCCTTTTTTCAAAGCTTGGCAAGTATAAAATTTTCAAGAATCTGGACATGAATGCATTTTTTTTTTTTTTACAAGTGTCAGACGTTTTCCTTATATATTATTACTTACTCTGTATCAACAGGTTGATTCACGAAAGGCTGCAACAAAGCAAGTCAATCAGATGCAAAATAGGTTACTAGAAAAAAAAGGCCACAGTGAGAAAAGTGCTGAGTCCTGTGCAACGTGGAGAAAAGTGCAAGAGGAGGAGAAGCTGACTGGGTTGTCCAACAGTGAAACAGCACAGGTGAGAGGCGTTTAGTTGTTGTTTCCCTTAATATTATATTAGAATATGCCCTTTGGGAATAAAGACTTTTATTTTTCTCCTGAGGGCCAAGGTTGTACAGTTTTGTTAAATGAGAAAGGACAGAAAATATCCTATCCAGTGGATAAAATCAAAGCAGCCAAAACCAGTTATCATAGAAACAGAATGACAGTGAGCACACTTGCGTGCAGATCTGATTTCTTTCTTTAGCCCGAGAATCTAACAAAGTGCACTTGAATTTGTTATGCCGTCTATGATCCATGAGGGACTCACCGTATTCCATACTGTTACGTTGGCTCCTCCAGTCTAACTCATAAACAGATGTGAGAGGGTCCCTGTCACTGTGGTTGTATTTCAAAATGACGGACTTCTATATCATCCGATCATTTGTTTGGTTAGTGACCCACCTTTAGCAGATGCCTCATTCAAGCAACAGCAAAAGTCTTTCCTAATTTAACCTTTTTTGACAAGGAGAAGCATACAAGGTATTTATATCTGCAGTGAAAAAAAATTTTTCTCAAAATGGCTAACATTTTATATGATTTCAACGTCATTTTCCAAATGGTTTCAGGTAGTTTACAATATGGAACAAGATAATGCCCCCATCTTCTATCTCCCCCCATGCGCCCCCCCCAAAAAAACAGTTGGTTAATCAGGCAGCTGGGATGTTAATCATTAAACTGAGCACTGAATTTAGCTCTGAACTTCCTGGCAGCCAAGGCAAAAATTAGAAGCCTACAAGTTAGGCATTTCTTATCTAACTAGCAAGCATACAAGTGTATCTAGAGAGAAAAATGCTTTTTTTCGTACTAATAGGAATCTCTTGCATTTATTCTGTTATAAAACCACAGTAGCATCATTTCCTTTTTATTTTATTTTCAAATTGATACAAAGGAATCTACTTCAAGAGGACACATTTTATAGTTCCCATTTGTAAAACTGAAGACAAATATTGCTTGGTGACAAAATTTAGATATTCTTGAGTGCTCTTTTTCAACCCTCCATCGTATAACTACACCATAATTTGCATATCCATTCTCCTATTAGTGGGTACCTGGGCTGCCCGTGTCTCAAGCCACCATGAACATAGTCGCTCTGAATATTCTGACACAAGTCCTTTTATGGATATGTTTTGTTTGTCCTGAGAAGTGGAATTGCTGGGTCATGGGGCAGATGTATGTTCAATATTATAAAAAGCTGACAAATACTTCCCACTTTATACTCCCATCAGTAACGTATGTGAGTTCCAGTCATTCCACCTCCTCCCCACTATTTGGTGTTTGTCAGTCTTAATTTTAGTCAACGTGTGTATATTAGTATCTCGTGGTGATTCCACTTATCTTTATCTGATGACCAATAATTGTGAGCACCTTTTCCTGTGCTGACTGCCCATTCATATACCTTCTTTTGTGAAGTGTCTTTTCAAGTTTTATCCATTTTTATTTGAATGATTGTCTTTCTATTATTAACTTGTAGGAATTCTCTATATATTCCACATATAAGTCTCCTGTCCAATGTCTACATTGTAGATATGTTCTCTTAGTATGCAGCCTGCCTACTCATTTACTTAACAGTGTCTTTGATGAGCAGGAAGTATTTGTTTTTATTTGAAATTCAATTTATCAATTTATTATTTTTTTCTGTAAAGAAATCTTTGCCTACCTCAAGGTCACAAAGTTATTTTGCTATATATTTTTTTAGAAGGCTTATAGTTTTAGCTTTCATATTTGGGTCTATGAGCCATCTCAAATCAGTTGGGTATGGTGTGAGATAGGGGTTGAGGTTCCTTCCATATTGAAAGCCAGTTACCCCAGTACCATTTCTTAAAAAGATTTTCCTTTTCCTAATTAAATTTCTTTGGAGCGTTTTTCAAAAGTCAGCTGACTATATAAGCATGGGTCTATTTCTGGACTCTCTTTTCTGTCAGTGTATTCCACACAGTATCAATTACTGTAGATTTGTAGCAAGTTCTGAAATTAGGTAGTTTTAAGTCCTTCAACCCCTTTCTTTTCTTCAAAGATGCCATGGCCATTTTAGTTCCTGGTCCCCTCCATAAAATTTAAGAATCACCTTGTCAGTTCCCACTAAACAGCACAGTGGGATTTTAATTGGGGCTACACTGAATCTAAAGATCAGTTTAAAGGGAAATGAAATCCCAGCAACAGTGAGTCCTCCAATGCATGAACCTGAGACTTCTATGTGTTTCTTTCAACAATGTTTTGTAGTTTTTAGTGTAGATATCCTATACATCTTCTATTAAAAGTATTTCTCAATATTTTGGTTTTTAATCCTATTGTATGTCATTTTTTCAAAAATTTTATATTCCAGTTATTTGTTCCTGGTATATAGAAATAAAATTGATTTTGTATATTGACCTTGTGTCTTGGGATCTTCCTAAAATTCACTGATTAGTTCTAGTAGTTCTTTTGTATTCTTAGGATTTTCTACATCATCAATCATGTTGTCTGTAAATAGAGTATTCTTCCTTTCCAACATGTATGGCTTTATTCCTTTCATGTCTTATTACACCTGCTGGGACCTCTAGTACTATACTGACTACTCAATATAGTAATGAGAGTGGGCATCCTTGTTCCTAATCTTAGGGGGAAAAGCATTCATTCTTTCACCATTAAGTATGATGTTAGCTGTAGGTTTTTCCTAAATGCACTTTATCAGGCTGAGGAAGTTTCGTTGTATTTATAGTTTGTTGAAGAATAAATTTTAGTCATGAATGGGTATTGTTTTGGGGGATGTGTCGAGATGATCATATGATTTTTCACCTTTACTAGTATAATGAATTGCATTGATTTTTGAATGTTAACATTTTATTTCTGGAATAAATTCCATTTAGTCGTGATGTGTTGTCATACTGAATTCAATTTGCTATTTCTCCGTTATGGATTTTTATATTTACATTGTTGAGAGAGAGTGGTTGGTAAATTTTCTTTTCTCTCAATATCCTTGTATGGTTTTGTTTTCCAGTCATTATATGTTACATTAGAGGGAAGTGTCTATTTTCAGAAAATGTCTCAGTAAGATTTGCCTTTCATAAAAATGACAGTTTAGAAAGAAAACTATCTAGGTCTAGAGTTTTGTTGTAGTAAAATTTCAAATTATGAATTTACTCTCTATCACAGATAATAGTGATTATAAGATTTTCTTTTTCTTCTTGTGTCAGTTTTGGTAATTTGATCTTTCAAGGAGTTTGTCCATTTCATTTAACTTGTCAAATTTGTCAGCACTGTGTAGTTCATGATATTCTCGTTATACTTTTAATGTCTTCTTTATCCATTCCTGATAATGGTACCTTTATTCATTTTGCTTTATAGTGACACTGTCTCCCCAATCCTAAACCATGGAAAGCATTGGTCTTTTCTGCATCACTATAGTTTTGTCATTTTGAGCATGTCAGTATAAATCAGATTATACGCTATGTAACTTGTTGAGATTGGCTTTATTTCTTTCACCGTTACACCCGTGAGATCCATGCAAATTCTGCATCTATTGATAGTTCATTCCTTTTTATTGCTAGGTTGTATTCTGAGGTATGGATGTAGTGTTGAAGAACATATGAGTTTCTTCCAGTTTTTTGCCTTTCACCATTTAGTATGACGCTAGTTGTAGATTTTTGGTAGATGTTCTTTATCAAGTTGAAGTTCCCCTCCATTTCTAGTGTATTGAGAGTTATTATGAATGGGTGTTGAATATTGTCAAATGCTTTTTCATATCTATTAATATGACCATATGATTTTTCACCTTTATACTGTTACTATGGTGGATGACACTGATTGATATGTGAATACTGAAACACTCTTATATTCCTTGAGTCAACCCCACTTGGTCATGGCGTATTATTCGTCATTGGGTTCAGTTTGTTAGTATTTTGTTGATGACTTTTACATCTCTAATGAAGACTGTTGGTCTGTAGTTTTCTTTTTATTTTATTGTCTTTTTCTGGTTTTGGAATCAGGTAATGCTTGCTTCATAAAATGAGTTGAGACATCTTCCAATTTCTGGAAGAGATTGAATAGAATTAGTGTTTCTTTTTAAATGTTTTAGAGAATTCTCCAGTGAAACCGTCTGGGCCTAGAGATTTCTTTTCCTTTTTTAACTATGAATTCAAGTTCTTTACTAAGACTATTCAGATTATCTATTTCAAGAGTGGACAGACTTTCCTATAAAGAGCCAGACAGTAAATATTTAGGTTTTACAAGTCATATGGTCTCTCTTTTGTTCAACTATGCATTGTAGTGCAAAAGCATCATATACAATAGGTAAACAAATGAGTATAGCTGAGTTCCAGCAGAACATTTATGGCACTGAAATTTGAATTCCATGTAATTTTCAAGTGTCACAAAGTATTTTTTCCAGCCATTTAAAAATGTAAAAACCATTCTTAGGTGGCAGGTTCTACAAAACAGGTGTTGAGCTGGATTTGGCCTGCAGACCACAGTTTACCACCCCCTAATCTATTTCATCTTGAGTTATTTTTGATAATTTATGCTCTTCTAAGAATTGGTCTGTTTCATCCAAGCTGTTATATTTTTATTTGTAGAACTGTTCATAGTATTCCTTTATTTAAATTCTCTAAATGGAATTGAAGCCTATAGTAATATTTCTTTCCAAATATCAGTAGTTTTCTCTCTTTTTTGGTCAGGTTTATCAATTTTATTGGTCACAGAGCCAGCTTTTGTTTGAGTTTTCTCTATTTTTGTTTTGTCAATTCCATTGATTTCTGCTCTTTATTTCCTTCATTCTGCTATGTATTTATTTTCTCTTTTTCTAGTTGCTTGAGGTAGAAACAAGCCTCAGTTATTGAATTGAGACGTCTTTTTTAATATAAGTATTTAGTATTAGAGATTTTCTTTCTAACACTGTGTTAGCCATGTCCCATATATTTTGATACGTTTTCATTTTCATTCAGTTCAGTATATTTTTAAGTTTCTCTTGGGTCTCTGACCCATTCAGGAGTTTTTAAAATTTTTCAAATGTTTGAAGATTTTCCTGTTCTTTCTTTCTTTCAGCTTGATTTAGGTGTATTTTCCTTTTCTTTTTCTATTTCAGGGGGAAGATTAGGCTACTGATTTGAAACCTGTTTTTTCTAATATAAGCATTGAATGCTATAATGACCTACTAAGTCCCATTTTAACTGCATCCCATAAATCCTTATATATTGTATTTTAATTTTGTACTTTCCCATGAGACTTCTTTTGATGTCTTGGTTATTAGAAGTGTGTTGTCTAATTTCCAAATGTTTAAAGATTTTCTATTACTGATTTCTAATTTATATTATTATCTGAGAACATGCTTTGTATAATTTTGTATTTGTTAAGGTTTATTACGTAACCCCCAGGATATGGTCTATCTTGGTGAATATTCCAATTGCGATCGAAAAGAACATGTACTCTTCTGTTTTGGAGTGGAATACTCTATAAATATCAGTTAGATCCCATTGGTTTGTGTGATCTAACCTTGCTGTTTTTGTCTAGTAGTTCTCTGTTAATTACTAAGACTGATGTTTTCTAGTAAGGAGGATTGTGAGCTGCTGCCCCTTTGCTGTCCCTTGCTTAATGCAAGGCAATGGTGGTCAGTAGGGTTATGTACCAGTAAAACTTTACTCACAAACAGGCAGCTAGCCAGTGAGCCACAGTTTTCCAACCCTAGCCAGACTGTCTCTCCCAGTCACAGCTCTCAGTAAACTGAAGACGGCTGGTGGTTAAATCCTTTGATGAGTGCCTTCCCATTTGACATCATTTGTTGTTGCTTAAAGAGAGGTAAGGTATTTAGGTCGCACAAGAGATGATTCTATCTTGAAATTTTAGTAGTTTGACTTCTGTTCTTACCTAGACAGGGATAACTAGATCATCCACTTCTACATGTAACTTATATGTAAATGCAGTTTAGGTTAGCTTGCTTGTGGCGCTCAGCCTTTACAAATATGATTTGATGGTGTTTTTCTTTTTCTTTGTGCAAGAACAATGCTTTATGGGCCTACTGGAGTAACCATTAACTCATTTTGCCTTTAGTGAATTAAGCTGACAAAACTTTAGGAACATTGCATGCATGTGACTTTGTTAGCTCTCAGGCAGTAAAGAGTAGTTTATAGTTATCTCAATAATTTATTTCTTTTTAATGGAAAAGCTAAAGAGCCTTCGAGACATCTCTTTTGAAACAGTGAAACTGAAATTTGTATAAACTGCTTGATTCCTTTTTGCTTAGGAGTTTAGGGTGAGCATCTTTTCTTAGATAAGCTTCTGGACAAATAAAGATTTTTACCAGCTGTCTTCTCGAGATCTGTTATGGGAAGATGTCAGTCAATCTCTGGTGCTCCGGCAGGAGGCTACAGGGGGCAGGCCACTAGCTAAGGCTAGTCTGTGGGTGCACAGCACTTGCACCACCATCTTGCTCCAGTGCTTCTAGTATCTTTAATTATTACCGACCAAAAGTCCTTCTAATTATAACTCTCTTATCCCCGTAAGATTAAGCCTGTTTCTTTTTCTTGCCAAAAAATTCATTTTTTCATATTCTATCCTATTTTTAGATTATAAATTATTTAAGAAATAGCCTACTTCTTGGTTTAAAAGAACCAATCAATCAAATTAACCAGATTTGGTCGTTTGATGCTGGTAAGTACATAAACACTTAAAATCAAGAACCTAAAAATAACTTCTCAGGAAAATAAAAAGCACACAAAAACTTGATCTTGTGTAACAAATTTTATTTAGCATTCTTATAGAGTACACAAAATAAACACTTGGATAACTCAAACCTAACAAACACATGTGTATTTTCTCATAGGAAAGCACAAGGAGAAGACAAAAATACTGTGAGTCTCAAGAATTTCTGAATGGAGTAAAAAGTTCTCCACAAAAATCCAGCTGTATACAGTTCCCTAATTCATTTTATGAACCCCATCAAGATTTTACCAGTCCAGATATGTTCAACAAGTCAAGCTCTCCATCTTGCTACACGTACACTTCTACAACTGGTATGGAGGTCACAGAATTAGACAGTTCTACAGGATTTTGGCTTACAATTTCCCAGTTTACTCTTAGTGAAGAGATAAAGGCAGATGTATATTATTATGGCTTCACCATTCTTCTTCTTTTGATATTAGTATGTCTTGCTTTATATTTTCTCTAAAGATATCAAATAAAATCCTTTTGCTAATTTAAGTTTCCAGTTCTTCACAGAAATGTTGCATTCTTATTTCAGGCTTTTCTCCCAGACATTTTCAAGGTAAGTGGCTTATAAAAAGAGGAATGCTTTATATTAGAGATGGTGTAATGACAGAGTTTGGAAAATACTTTTTAAGGTTCAGATCACCTAGGAAATCTAGAAAAGGGGTTAACTTTTTTTTGATCAAAGGAGAAATCTGAAAATTAAAATGTTAATAGGGACAATTTATCTTAGAAAAAATGTTTAAATACATAGATTGACAGATGTTTCCAAAAATTTTATATATGCTGATATACTATATAGCTATCTTCTAAAATATATTACTAAAAGCTAGGCACATTTTATGAAATGTGATTAATAATTTGCTTACCTTACTACAATATGGACATTCACCAAATATGACGTTAAAACTCTGTCTACTAGTCAGTAGTCCTCTCAGCCACTGAAGATTTTAAAAAGAGAAGAAAGGGAGCAGTGTCAACATGATTACATATTACAGGTACTCCAAATAAATTTTTCTTTTTGAGTGCATCATATTTTTATGCCAGATGGTTTGCCGCCTTAATTTTCTTTTGCAAGAGTAAGAGGAACATCTCCTGAGCCAATACCAAACTACTAAAATGCTGAATAACAAGGGGAAACCAGTATGGATTTCAAGGTCTATACCACTGATTTATATGCAAATTATAGGCCCCTTTAAGAATCTGATAAAAAGTATGCACCTTCTCTACCCCAAAACAGATGTACACAAAAATAACTCCATGGGGTTCACAGACCCTCCCTAAATCCATTAATCACAAATTAAGAACTCCTGCTATAAAAGATATCCTAGGCTCTTTAAAATTTAGGTCTTAATTCTGATCTTAATCACCAATAGTAGGGTTAATTCTCAATCCATTAATTACAAGCAGGAGGCAATCCATTTTTAAAAATTAAATGAATTTTCATTATTACAAAAGAAAGCACATGTTCCCTTAAGAGTATCTCTATAATTAGACCTAGTATTTTATGATTTTATATAAGGTAAATTGACATCTCTACCTAAATTCTCCACTGTTAAACTGCAGCTAGCACCAGCTGCTATCTCTGATCACAAAAATCAGGAGGTATATTAAGGAAGTTTTTAAAAACTGAAAGCTGCAAGTCATTTTGTATATAGATGCACATACAGTTAGTCATATGTCCATTGTGCCCTAAGATGAGTGCTAGAGAGCAAGTGACTGCAGCCAGGAAGGAAAGCAGACTTCTCATGTATACAGTAAATAAAGTGTCATTGACTTAAGAGTGTTGTGAGTTATTTAGATCATAAAATGCATTCTTCTCAATATCAAAAGTAGGATTATTACATTTATTCTATACTTAAATATAGCCTGAAAAAGTAATAGGTACTCTACAGTACTAGCTCCCTTTCACCTTATTGCCACCATTACTCCTACTTGGATGAGTTTACAGAGTTTGCATTGTGATTACATGAGATATTTACAGAAAGATTCCAATGTTCCATCAGTTTAATTTGTTATGCATCAATAAACAGTCCATGAGTATATTCTAGATACATTTTCCCACTTCTTGGATACTTTAGGACATTTATAAATTCATTAGTAGCCACGAAGAAATGAAATACACATTTGGAATGAACTGTTAAAGGAGATAATGGCAATAAAAGATCACTATTGATTTTAGCTTGTTTAGATTTCAAATATGCGTATTTCCTATGCTGTTAGTCTTACTGATATTTTTATTTTTACCTCATATAAACATATTTGATGGAAAGGCTGTCCACACTGTGAATTATCACACACTTGATCAGGAATGGCACCGTCAAGTTGGTAGGCATAACAAATTCCACAATCCATAGAAAAATCCTCCGAGAAAAGAAATATTGGGGGATGGGGTGGTGGGAAAAAAGAAATATTTATAAGAATACACAAGGTGAAACTAAAAAGTCAATAATATGGTATTAGATGCTATTAAATTTTTATAAAATTTTTATAAAGGTAACTATATTGCTGTTACAGAAAATACAGTCACATCACTATTTAACACCTTAGAAAAGCTATCTGTAAGAGAGGGCTGTCTTTTTCATCCAATAAATAATATACATATACCAAAAAGCAGATTCTATTTTTGGCTCACAAGACGTTTTGGGCTTAAGTAATATTCCCACTATGTACATCAGTAATGCCACTGCAGTATGCAAAGACAGGAACTGACATTAGCTGGTGATTATACTAAACTTCAAAATTCTGCAACTAAAGGAAAAAGACAAAAACATCCCCACCACTTTAGTAGTCTACATTCTTAGCAGCTTTGTCAAAAATCAATTCTTAGTTTTTTTTTTTGCAGTGTAGTAGTCTCTATTCAATTTTGAAAAACTATGCTGCCAACCTTCACAAACACTTGTTTCAAGCTAATTAGAACTTTATTTCAGTCATCCATAAGCAGATAGTATAGAAAATCCAAACATCTCATTAGCTACATTGGACCTTTCCCCTATTTTTAATAATAAAGATGTCATTAATCACTTTACTGCTACAATGACCATGAAAAAAGTACACTTATAACCACCAATCAAAGGTTAACAAGTTCTTTGATGCAACTGCCGCTTGCAGTTCAGAAGTCCATTATAATATTCTTCCAATTCCTTCCCTTTCAGCCTCACTTTTCTCTGGTGCCTAAAAGAACATTTGACTTTCATTATGCAACACTATTTGGAATATCAAAGCACTGATAAGACTTACAGATTTTTCCAGGATAGCACGAGCTGGAAAATCAATTTCTAAAACATCTTTCAAATTTTGTAACAGACTATTTTCTGGATCCCTGAAAACATGAAAAAAACCTGTTATTAAATTTGTAAAATCATAGAAAAGTAACAATTATATTGCAAAGATACCTACCACAAATGTATGTTTCTGCTCAGCCTAATTCCCAGGGGTTTTACCACTTCAAATATTAAAAAAAAAAAAAAAAAGTTTAATAATTTAGGGTTTGCTGCTGTCATTTTGTAAAGTCACATTTGGCACAGAATTTGTCTTCTTTTTATTGAGCTATAATTGATAACACTGTATTACAGATTTAGGTGTACAACATAGTGATTTGGTATATGTATATATTGCAAAACGATTACAAGTTTAGTTAACATCTGTCATGCAGTTACAAAGATTTTTACTCTTGATGAAAACTTTTAAGATCTAATCTATTAGCAACTTTGAAATATACATAATATTTGTTAATTACAGGATTTGCTTCCTAAGTACGTGATTAGAAAATCTAAATCATATATATTATATATTAAAACACAGAAGTACACAGTTCACAATGAGACATTTTCATTTAAGATGTTTACTATTAATATATTAGAATATTTAATTACAATTAATTTTTAATTATAATATGTAATTACAATTAATTATTTGTCTACAGTGGTAGACAAATATTTTATAATTCTGTTAAAAACATTTAAACCTGAGATCTCATACCATGGTCAGCTCCAAGAAAACAGCACTCAGGAAGCATAGTAGGATGCCTGGGGTCTACTTCTATATTTATCGAAGCATTAGTCCCTAGAATAAAAGAATATTACAGCTTTTAGAAGTAGAACAGATAATGAAACAAAAAATAAAGGAGTATTTGTCTGGGTACTTATTTCATTGTATACTCAAGGAAAGATTAACTAATTGTATTATATATATAGTTTTTTATAAAGGTAAATATACTACTAATTTATAATTTAACAAAAAGAAGTAATTTGAAAATTTTGATCATGACTAAAGATTTGGGGATCCCAAGTTTCAAAAAACAGAGCCAATCCATAAGTTAATATAATTAATTTAGATACAATTTCTAGTCAGAATTGCATTAAAGTTTGAATAAAAATTTTCTATGGAGTGAAAAATCTTTAATATATAAAAATTACAAGTCACAAGTTTAAGAAATAATCTAAATGATATCGTAATAGTCTTGAAAAGTAATAGAACAAACATAAAAGACTAAAAATACAATAAATGGTAAAAAATAAATGTTTAAGATTTGAGTTTTATAAAAACATTTTCTGAAATCTTTATCTCCCTGTGAAGCTTTCCTGGATAAGTTAACAAAGGGGTCAATTCATATTAAATTTTTGGAAACTGTTCATTTAATAACAAAAACAACTAACAGTTTACAGAATCTAAGGAAAAGCTATTTCTACTTGGCACTAAATTCTTTTATAAATTTTAACTGTACTAGAGTATGTACAAATTTCAGAAATTTTATTGCTTTTTTGGAGGTACACAGTGTGGTTAAGCTTAATTTGGATTTCATTTTTATGGTAAAAATGTCTTGATAAATTCTATACACTATAGAATAATCCTCTGGCTCAGGTTGGCAACAATATAAATACAATTATTACAGATCTAGCAAAAAGAGGTAATCAAGTAAAATAAAAAAAGTAAGTCCAGGTAATTCAATAAGAAAAACAAAATTACAAAAAGTTAATTTGTAATTTCATTGGTTAATGCATTTTTTACATGAACACATATTCCATGTTAGCCTTTATGTCACCTAATGGCTCCAGAAAGTACTTTCACTTAACAACAATGGTTGTATTAACTAGTCTTTTGATTAATTTGCTGAAAACCTGGTCCTAAAAGGGCAAATCAATGCCTGAAGAAAAAAAGGAGCTAAAAGGTAAATATAGGGAGAGTGAATAAATACCAGGTTGTTTTTGCTGAACAATGAGAAATAAGAAGTATATTTAATCATAACCTAAGAGAAATAATTATTTTAATGGGGCCATTAAGATAATAAATTACTGCACTTCTTTGAAGAAAACAGTTTAGTATCTACTTGTTCACAAATATACCATAATTTGGTTAATTATTCCAAATGAAATTCTGTTAAGACTTTTTCAAACTTGGTAAGTAACAGTACTGTCTGTAAAATTGCTGCGCAATTATACTTTCCTCTTCTCATAGTAACATGTCACTTTTCCCCCCAGGTAATCTATT